CACCAATTCTTAAGTTTTCTTTATAGTCTAACTCTCACATCCATACATGACTACTGGAAAAACCATAGCTTTGACCATATAGAAGCTATATAGAAGCATAGAAAGTAAAGAGTGATGAAAGTACAAACTATTGTGGGTCAGAGTAGAGTATAAGTGAGTCTTATGCTCAGGGTCTTCCAGGCTGAAATCAAGGTATAAACAAGGGCTACAACTGATCTGAGGTTTAGAGTTTTGTTTTGTTTTGTTTCCCCTAAGGTTACTAGTTTGGGCAGAATTCATTTCTTTAGGGCTTTATGACTGCTGGCCCTACTTACTTTGCAGGCTGTTGGTCAAGGTCCAGTCTCAGTTACCATCAGTTACTATATGCATCCCAGGCAGGTGGGCTCCTACATCACAAATGTACTTCCTCAAGGCCAGGAACAATTAGGAGCTTCTACTAAACCTCACATGATTGCATCAGACTCTTTAAATAAAAATCTCCCTTGTAATTAACTCAGTGTTAAGTGATTGATGAGCTTGATTATATTTGCATTATATATTTTTCCATAAAACTTAGCAAATTCATGGTGTAATACTGCATTCCATGATTTCAGTTCAGAGAACCCTCACACACTCAAGGGCATACCATTATACAAGAAATTATAGAAGAGATTATATTGTCCTTGGGGGCAAGAATCTTCGGGAGAGGTTTACCAAAGCTGCTTCTCAGATTCCTCAAAATATAACTCTAGCTATCCATTTTTGTGCAACATTTTCTGGAAAAGTGACAAGGCCTGGAAGAGCCCAGGGAATTATTCTCTTGTATTTTATGACAAAAATTGCTCTTCCTTCTTTGAAATGAGAAAATCATTTTGCACTTAATATTTTATGTAGCTTTACATGACCTGGACCTCAGCAAAGTAAGAACAGAGAAAGTGGATAAAAAGATAGAAGCAAAAAGATAATATCTTGATTAATTCCTCCCTTTATATTCTAAAGACCATTTAAAGATATCTTATTTCATTTCCCCACAGTTGTTTTCTTACCATACTACTCCCTGCAATGTGAATTACCTCTTGAAAACTCTGGCCTTGCTAACCTTCCTTTATTGAAACATCCCTAGGAGAAGGAGCTACTCAACTAAATTCTCTTCAATCAATCATTTCCTTACTTCTCTAGAAAGGTTCATAAAATTGAATGTGCCCCAAGCAGTACCACAAAGTTTTCTATTTAATGTGGCAGAACTAAATTAACTTCATCATAATGGATTTCTGTTACAGAATATGATTCATTTCCTAACAATAACAAAAAAAATCTGTTTTTTTTCTATACTTATTTCAAATAATAAGATTTTTGTTGATTGCAAAGTTAGGTGAACTTCATTCCTCAGCACCACCCCATCTTACCCTGAAGCCACAAAAAGTGGAGGACTGTCTGTCAGATGAGCTGGATAAAGTCAACTAGAGAGAGACTAGTATTGATTTTTTTTTCTCTCTCTCTTTCTGAATTATCCAGTTTTATAAAATGGCATTACCTAAGGGCCAAGATCATGAAGAAGTAAGATTCTACTGTGGCATTTCTCCTACAATTTTCTTCAGTTATTTGATCACTGCAGGATGTAAGTTTTCAGTCATAAAAGAATATCTATATGTACAGAAAGCTTATTTTATCTCTCTTTATCTCCACAACCACTAAATATTTGCCTGCAGTGACAGGTCAGGAGTTCTTAAAAGACAGAAATTATGTCTGATCTCCTAAAACAAAATATAGAATAATTCTTTTTTTTAAATTTTGCCTTCATGTCTGGGCTTGAAATGACTTTTGAAGTGAGGAGACATGTCCATTAGTGGCAAGTCCATAACAGTGGCATGTTTGTTAAGTAGGTAAATAAAACTGAGATCTTGTCAAAAAAGAATTTGCCTAATCCCACAATCAGAAGCCTTCCAATATCTGGTAGAAGTAGAGAGGGAAAGGAAGAATAGCTGGTACCAACTTCTTCATTTTAAGGGAGTTAATTCTGGTCAAGAGAAGGGCATAAGTGTCAGCCAAGGCAGATCAAATAGCTTTCTAGACAAACGGACCAAAGGTGAAGTCAAAATTGTCTTACACCAGAAGTTATGGATAACTATGATAAATATTATATTGTTTAACATTTATGGAGCATTTGGAGTTTGTAAAAGCAAACTATATTTTCTAAGTTACCTTAAACTAGCTTGTGTAGCTTATAAATTATACATAACTCAGCTATCTTTTTGGCATCCAATTTCCATTGAATACATCAAAAGATGTGGGACTTAGTACTTCTATAAACAACTCAGTCATTAAACAAGATGGAAAACCTTATTATCTTTGTCTCTTCTGTCCTTCTGGAATGCTTTCCAGGTCTTAATACCATGTAGGCAATCAATATCTTTTAACATTAATTTAATTTTGAATGGTTTCACTTGTTAGAAACTTCTTCCTTTTTACCTTAATATTAACATATTTAGTAAACTAAATTATTGTTAACTCCCCATTGAAAGACTTAAAGAGTATATCAAACTGATGTTCAACATGAGAGCCCTTCAATATTTGAAAAGGTTTATCCTTTTTTGTCTTGAACTTCTTCATTCTAGGTAAGCAATCTCAGTAATTTTAACAGTTTTGTGTTTTTGGTTTGAATGATATTTGCTATCCTATTCTGGCAATTGGTTGTCTTTTCTTGAGCCCGATTCCTTTAACAAAAAACAGTAGTTTAAGCTGTAGACTGATCAAACCAGTAGCATTATGGGATCATCTCTTTATTGAGATACTATGTTTCTATCTGTGTAACCAACAGCCGCAATATCAACCATGGCATATTATGCAATAACTCTACTTATGTTTATATTAGTTTTAAGACAAATGAAAAGTCTTAAAAAGAAGGAGATGGAAGTTGAAGAAAGTCAGTACTATATGTAAAACCTTATGAATAATGAATAAATGAATAAATGAAAATATAAAAACTAAAATAAAGCATTGAATCCAAGGCAAATAAATATATGAGTAAAAACTGGACTAATTAAACAAAGTAAAGGGAATAATTACAGGGAAAATAAAGATAGATCCCCCTGAGTGAAAATTACTGTGAAAGAGACTTTATTTCAAGTCTGAGAAGTGTTACTGTTTGCTATAATAAACTTGATTAATTTGTGATTTTTTGATTTCACAGCAATTTTTTTTTCCTTTCCTTTTCCCTTCTTCACAGGAAATGCATAAAACAGCAATCTAGTCCTTAAAAGAATGAAAGGTGCCCACATTATTTCCCTCAGGTGTACTAAGGCCAAAAAGGGATGTGTCAACACAACAATTAGCACATCATTGGAGTCATCCTGCTGCTGCTGCAAAGTCACTTCAGTCGTGTCTGAGACTCTGTGTGACCCCGTAGACATCAGCCCACCAGGCTCCCCCGTCCCTGGGATTCTCCAGGCAAGAACACTGGAGTGGGTTGCCATTGCCTCCTCGTAATGGAGTCATACTAGAGGGAGTTAACTGAGAAAGCAGAAACTTCTAAAGGTCCCAGAAAATCACTGTGTTAATTAACTATATTCATGTTAATTTCATGTTGTCTTAGTTTGTCACAGGTGATTAGAAGTCAGAGCAAGTGACCTTAAAGTTTTTGTTTTAATTAAGCACTGCAGCAGCAGCATATTTCTATAATGTAATATTTCCAGTTAATGGGAACAGAAAACTAATATTCAGAAAAAGGGTAAATGTAAGCAAAGTGAAAAATTAAGGATCATGACCCCAGGGACAAATTACATCTAAATATTCTGTCTAATATTGTTATTTAATTATACATGCTCAAAGCCTTAATGCTTGGTCAAATATCCTGATAATGCATTATAGTACCTACCAATTACATGTGTAAAGCTGACTAATATAAAGCCCCAAAACTAGACCTTGCTGCTGCGAAAGACTGAAGGCGCAAGGAGAAGAGGACAACAGAGGATGAGATGGTTGGATGGCATAACCAACTCAATGCTCATGAGTTTGAGCAAACTCTGGGAGGCAGTGAAGGAAGGGGAAGCCTGGTGTGCTGCAGTCTGCAGGGTCACAAAGACTCAGACAGGACTTAGAAACGGACCTTAGCAACATACATAGACCTTCTACAGCAAAAACACTTAGGCATTCAAAAGTATTTAATAGAAAAGGGTATTATCATCAAAATAATAAAAATGATACAACAACAACAAAATACATTTTGCCACACCAAATTCTCAGCTGAAATAGAAAAAGAAAAGATTAATTTCAATTTTGTTGTATTTGTAATTACTGCTTTGATCCACCAGATGTCAGGATTGGATAAGACCAGAAAATACTTCATAGCTACTTGATCTTCTGTGGTAACTAGTCACAGGAAAGGAATAAGCCCTTCCTAGGACTTCCCTGGAGAAGGCAATGGCAACCTACTCCAGTACTCTTGTCTGGAAAATTCTATGGACGGAGGAGCCTGGTGGGCTGCAGTCCATGGGGTCGCACAGAATCGGACAAGACTGATGCGACTTAGCAGCAGCAGCAGCAGGATTTCCCTGGTGGCTCAGCCGGTAAACCGTCTGCCCACAATGAGGGACACCCGGGTTCAGTCCTTGGGTCAGGAAGATCTCCTGGAGAAGGAAATGGGAACCCACTCCAGTATTCCGGCCTGGAAAATCCCATGGACGGAGAAAACTGATAGGCTACAGTCCATGAGGTCGCAAAGAATCGAACACGACTGAGCGACTTCACTTTTTTTCAGCGACTTAGCAGCAGCAGCAACATATATGTGTGTGCATATGTCATTTGAATGTATGCACCTGATTATCTTTACAAGTTATCCAGGCATTTTTACAAGTGGTAGCTTCTTTTCTTAAAATGTTTAACTTTTACTTCCCTTACCCACTGATCTTTAAAGGAAAATGATAATTTGCTACTAACTTGTAAGTTATTCTGCAGCAAGGTCCGTCATCCTCCCCACATCCTGTATGAAAGTATCTCTCACTTTTGTTTTGTCCTCCCTACAGCCATTAGACTTTGAAACAAAGAAAGCTTACACTTTTAAAGTAGAGGCCGCCAACGTTCACCTGGACCACCGGTTTCACTCCGCGGGCCCTTTCAAGGACACGGCCACGGTGAAGATCAGCGTGCTGGATGTGGACGAGCCGCCGGTGTTCAGCAAGCCAGTCTACACCATGGAGGTTTACGAGGACACTCCCGTGGGGACCATCATTGGTGCTGTCACCGCACAAGACCTGGACGTGGGCAGCAGTGCCGTGAGGTAAGAAAAAGCAGTGCTTGCTCTTCTATGTGTCAGAAAGAGAAAGAAAAGAAGGCTCTGACCAGGCTTGTATAAATGATTTAGTTATAGAATGCAATGCTTGAAAATGCAAGGACTTTTCGTGGTAAGTAGAATAAAGGAAGAACCATTGAGCTTCCTTGATAGCTAGCTCAGCTGGTAAAGAATCCGCCTGCAGTGCAGGAGACCTGGGTTCAATCCCTGGGTTGGGAAGATCCCCTGCAGAAGGGAACGGCTACCCGCTCCAGTATTCTGGCCTAAAGAATTTCATGGACTGTATAGTCCTTGGGGTCACAAAGAGTAGGACAAGACTGAGAAACTTTCACTTCATAGGGTTTGAGCAAAAACATCTGATAGCAATCCCTTTAACGGGGTTTAGTAGTGACCTGATGTCGGACTTGTCACTCAAGCTGATAAACCTGTTTTTTATCCACAAAAGGGATTTAGCAAGTCAGCCTAAAAGGATGCATCTCACAAATAACGATATTAAGATATGTTCACGGTGCCCGAAATATCACATATATATAAAACACCTTTTTCAATTATTCTAAAATCTCTGTCCCCTACCCAAAGTTCGTGTCTGAAAAAAGATTGTTCAAGCATGAGTAATTTGCAGTTCATTTTTTTCACTGGCAATTGCATCTCCTAATAGAGGCACAATTGCAGTCAGATTTAAGGTAAGATGTGTTGTGGAGTTGCTCAAAGTCCAGACTTGACAAGAGCCTCCTTATTGGCATATGCCTGCTGAGTAGTGGGTCCGACCAAGCAATCAGTAAGACAAAGCAAGAGTAAGAAAGTGTAAGAAAATACTCACTCTTCCCCCACCCATACATGCCACTTATATTGCTCAAATATGGTAGCATTCCCTTTTCCACACTTATAAATTGATCCTGTAAAATATTTGGAGATTTGTTCTGATTCAACTTTGCTTCTTCTGGATACTTAATCTGTGCCATGTGTCAATGCACCTACAAAGAGGGCAGGAGGGATGGGGAATAAAAGAAAATAAAAGAAAAAAAAATGAACATATCTAGAAAACAGAAACAGACTCACAGACATTGTGGTTGCCAAGGGCGGGAGTGTTGAGGGAGGGAAGGATTGGGAGTTTGGGCTTAGCAGATGCAAATTAAAATGAGACAGAGAAAGACAAAAATGGGGTTTGTTCGGAATCTTCTAACTCTAAAGGGGTGAAGCTTAGTATACAAAATCCAAACCAAAGAACACATTAAATAGACTTTTAAAGCAAAATAGTACCCTGTTGCATAGGAAAAATACATAGATGCATGCAAGATTTTAAGTCGTGGGGTAATGAGTGATTAAAACAACAAATAAACCAAAAAGGTCAACCTTTCAGTGGTAGCCTCCACACATTCATAGCATAGAGAAAACTCTCAGGCAATGGCTTGAAAGCATAGAATCTCTGCTCTTTGTATGTGTCAAATCTATCCCTTAAAGTGGCCTGGATGCCTTCCTTCTTGAAGCATGTCTGTGATCAAGAGAGCACTCTGAAAGAGCACATTTGTCTTGAGAAAGGGAAGAAGTGCCATTATTTAGCACCCTTACCAGTCAGGTTGAATCCTGGCTCATTTCCTCATTGGGTTCAACTTGTTATACATGCTCAAATTACAGCATGATTCACTTTCATTTAAAGTCCAAAAAAGTCTGTTTGTCATCACTGTTCACAGGGGCCTTCTCAGGAATCTGCTGCGTTAGTAGTTGTTATACATTAATCTGTCATCATTCATCAGTCTTGTTCCTGAAGACCCTGTGTGTGCTGCTAGTCACTGTGAAAGTAGAAAATGCCTGCTGAGTAGATTTACAGGTAATTTCAAGAATGTAAGCAGAATGGAAGAAATATTGAAGGTTGTAAAGAAAACAGTAAAAAAAAAAAAAAAGGTAAATAAATATGGATTGAAACTCTCTACACTTCAATAGATGAGACTTGTGGGACATAGTGGGACATGATATCTTAGGGGACATACTAAGTTGTTTAACTTGCTATATGTTCTATTTTTGAATACTGATCATAACATGATAGGGTCAAGATAAGAATAAAATATTATTTTAATGAAATACTTAAAAAAATCAGATCATTTACAACTAAAAAATATCACCCTGTAAAGGTAAAGGTAAGAATTACAAACTTCCAAGCATAAGGAAATAATTAGATCAAGATCCAAGTGTGTGGAATAAAAGAAGGCTACACTGTAGAGAAATTCTCCAGCTACAAGCCTATCTTCTTTATTTGTTTTTCATGTCACAGAAGCTAGTGTCTGACAAGTGCTACTTTGAAATAAGGGAGCATCCTTAGTCTTATTTCTAATGCATGGCAGCCAGATTCACTGGAGCTATAGACACAGATGGATCTAATTGAGCCCCGTGAGGGGTTGTCAAAAGACAGAGGTGGTTTTGAATCAACATAAAAGTTGTCTTACTTTCACGTCCGTGGAGGAAACAGTAGACTTGAATCAAGTCAGTTGAGGAATGTGGAGTATGAATCACTTCTAAGCCTGAAAACATGTTTGCTCACATAGGAATGATAGTAAAAATGTGTTATAAAAAATAAGCATTAAGACGACAAATTACTTGGCATGTATAGGTATGTTCTGTTTGTTTTCCTTTGCTTTACTGCATTTACTGCTTTGCATTACCCTTTTCATAGGGTTATTGTGCGTGGTATTAATTTAAGGCTAGGATATTCCACATGGCTGGGTATTTTATTAATATTGTTATTTCATCATCACTTAGCACAGCAAAGAGCCAGAAAGCAATGGCATTAACTGGGACTACACAACCTTAGAAGAAAGGTTCAGTTAGGTGTAATGTCCCCACAAATAATCATGTCCTGTCCCCTCTTGCCATGAGCTTAATTTCTAGCTATTGTTTCCTTTACATTTCTAACCTTTGTCTTCTTGTTGTTGTTCAGTCCTTAAATCCTGTCTAACTCTTTGCCATCCCATGGACTGCAGCACACCAGGATTCCCTGTCCTTCATTATCTCCCAGAGTTTGCTCAAACTCATCCATTGAGTCAGTGATGCTACCTAACCATTTCATCCTTTGCACCCCCCCTTCTCTGTTTGACTTCAATCTTTCCCAGTGTCAGGGACTTTTCCAGTGAGTCAGCTCTTTGCATCAGGTAGCCAAAGTGTTGGAGATTCAGCATCAGCATCTGTCCTTCCAATGAATATTCAGAGTTGATTTCTTTTAGGGTTGACTAGTTTGATCTCCTTGCAGCCCAAGGAACTCTCGAGTCTTCTCCAACACCACAGTTCAAAAACATCAATTCTTTGGCGCTCAGCCTTCTTTATGGTCCAACTTTCACATCCATATATGACTACTGGAAAAACCATAACTTTGACAATATGGGCCTATGTCCACAAAGCATTGTCTCTGCTTTTCAATACACCATCTAGATTTGTCTTAGCTTTCCTTTCAAGAAGCAAGTTTTTTTTTTTTTTTTTTTAATTTTATGGCTGCAGACAGCATTCACAGTAATTTTGGAGCCTAGGAAAATAAAATCTATCACTGCTTCCCCTTTTCCCCCTTCTATTTGTCATGAGGGGATGGAACTGAATGCAATGATCTTAGTCATACTCAGTGGCAATTAACTAACAGCAAATAGTGATGTTGTAATAACTTATTCTTTGGCCAGAGTTTTTTAGGCATCAGCATGATTATTTTATAGCAAGAGAAACTGAGGCACAGGAAGACTCAATTATGACTTCAGTAAAATGGGAATGACCTCCTTGATGGCTCAGATGGTAAAGAATCTTCCTGCAATGCAGGAGACCCAGGTTTGATCACTGGGTTGAGAAGATCTCCTGGAGAAGGGTAACCCACTCCAGTATTCTTGCCTGGAGAATTCCATGGACAGAGGAGCCTAGTGGGCTACAGTCTATGAGATCACAAAGAGTAGGACATGACTGAGTGATTAATTTGAACATAAGTAACTAGATTCTAATCATTCTGCTAATAAGGGTTAATTGAGGTATTTATCTAGGTTTCTGCATTGCTTTGTAATTCCAGAATTTTTGGAAATACAAACAAAATTTAATAATGTTCAGTAACTTGTTAAAATAGATTGCCAAAACATGTCAGTAAAAAATGTACTATATTTGATTCTTTAACATGTGATAACCATGGACCTTGTTATATGCCTGCAAGCATTCTAAACACTTTACATAGGTTTGTCTTGTTTAAAACTTAAAATGATTTTACTTAAACCTGAAAAGAGTTGTACTCAAGTATGTGAAAATTGACATTGGTCTGGCTAGAAATATAAAATCAAAAAATACAGTTCTTTTGCTGACTTTTGTACATATGGAAAAAATTGCTATTACTTGAGATTCAGTACCTTTTATTTTTCTAGATCACTACAAAGTCCTTACAAAATTTAGATAGAGCTAAGAATTTATTGACAGAATTCAGTGGATTTATGATACAGATGTATAGCTCTAATTTTTATAAGGATTGGATCTTGATATCCAATGATGAATTTGCTTTTATTTTGAAACAAATTTTGCATTTTTATAATGAAATGATGGCTGAATGTCCAGATAATAGTTATGATGGTGAATGTCTTGAAGCTATCTTTCTGTGCTTCATGTAACTCCTCAGAATGAAGCAATGCCCAAGTCTATGTTTTTAGTTTCGCTGTTGTTTTTTCTTTGTTTTTGGTCACACCATACGGCATGTGAGATCTTAATTCCCTGATCAGGGATTGAACCATGCCCCCTGCATTGGAATTGCTGATTCTTAACCACTGGATGGCCAGGGAAGTCCCTAAGTCTATGTTCTTTATTACTTACCTAAATGTTTGGGGTTTGCATTTTGTCTGCTAGAGTTTCAGTTTCTTTGCTTTCTCTCAAAGGGTTGAGTGCTCTATGTAAGTGTAAATTTCACAGCTCTTTTCCTCCTCTATAATTTACATACTTTTAGAGAATAGCTTTTTTAAAAAAAATCAGTTATTTAGAATTTTTAT